ATCACAATGCTGCAACTACTATTTTGTCAGTTTAGAGATGCTGTGGTGATAAATGTTTCTCCCTCTTCTTAGGTGAGAAGGCCAGATAGATACAGATCCAGATTAACAGGGTTGGAAGGGACCTTGTAAGTCACCTAGTCCAACCCCTGCCCAAGCCAGACCCTACACCATTTCTGACAGAGGGCAATCCAGCCTCTTCTTGAAAGTTTCCAGTGATGAAGCTCCCACAACTTCTGAAGGCAAGCTGTTCCATTGGTTGAATGTTCTCACTGTCAGAAAATGTATCCTTATTTCCAGGTTGAATCTCTCCTTCATCAGTTTCCAACCATGATTCCTTGTCTGGCCAATGATGTCATGGCAAACCACCAATAGCTTTTCTACTCTTCTTCTGCAGTGAAACTGTAATGACAGTCCTGCTTCCTAGCTTGTTCAACAGGGCATAATTGCAGAGCATGCCAAGTTACATTTCTGCTTTTTCAAGACTACAGGATGCCATTTCAACCTGGCTATGAGAAAGTATCTTATGGATGCACATTTATAATTATATGTGCATTGTAGTTAGAAAAAATGTCAATACCTATGAACTTATCACCGTGTCTTGCCAAAACATATCATTGAGCATCAACCTCTGTATTGGCAATGTAATTTAAAAGTATAGATGCAGGTTTGCCTTTGTCATTGACTGGGAACACTTTTCAATCTAAAAGTTGTAGGAAAATTAGGACAAGCATAGTAGCTGATGACATTTGGGGAAGAAAGTCATCTCTAATGTCCAGGAAGTGGAACTCTACACTTTTATTTGGGGAAGGAAAAATGATAAGTCAGTATCCTCTAGGACAGAGGTGTCAAACTCACATTGTCACGGCAGTGTCAGGTGATGTATTGGGATTTTTTTTCCCTTTGGTAAACCAGATGTGGGCATGGTGGGCATGGTCAGCACATGACGCACCCGGCCTGCGGGGTGCCCTGCTCTAAGCAAATCTGAAAGCAGTTTTTTATTTTCAATGCAAGATTGTTCTTCAGTCTTTGTCCTACCAGAAAAAAACACACAGCAACTTTAAATAACTCATAATACCTGGCTATATTATAGCAAGAACACGTTCAAGTGGTGCTCCAAGCTTTCTCATCTAAAATTCTCCACATGTCTTTCTTAACTCTTGGATTAATACTGGAGGAACAACTGGCAGTACTGCCTTTGAAAAGGGTAAAAAGCAATATTTGCCTTTGAAAAGGGTAAAAGGCAGTATTTGCCTTTGAAAAGGGTAATGTGCTTGTTGATCCCTCTGCTAGATCTAATTACTCTTGTACTATTTATAATCAAACACCTCACAAGTCCATAAAAGAGGCTAATATGTCAATAATTCAGATCTTCTTAAGTATGGCATCAAATAAAAGTTTTTTAATACTGCATTTATTAACATCATGGGTACTTTATGTTTAAAAGTGCAGTTCTCATTGAACAATACAAATGTATCAGGAAGGCAAATTTTGCAACCAGTAAATCTTTGTGATAAATACAGTACCTAACAAACCTAATAATTACACACTGTACTAATTACTTTAAGGAGCTACACTCCAATAATATACTGAGTAGTCAACAACTCTTCTAGCTTCAGGGCTTTGCTCATTAAGCTAAATTAGTATGATGAATTGAGAAGGTTATTTGGTTACATCCACAGTTGATAGAGCTTGTTTATCACAGTGTAGAACTGGAGTGAGGGCAGAATTGAGTTCAGTAAAGTAACTAAATAACTACTAAAATGTGTCCAGTTTTCATAAAAAAAGTACAAGAGAAATTATATGCATACTTTTACTTTTAAATGCATCTGAGAGACTACCAGGATTTTCCCCAACAGCCACGGGTGGGGTTCTACTGGTTCGGACCGGTTCTATAGAACTGGTTGTTATGATTCTGTGCAGTTCGGAGAACTGGCAAATTCTACCCCTCTCTGCCTGCCCCTTTCCTCCCCACCCAGTCAGTCCTTATTATGCATGCATGACATCACACGTATGCCCGACATCACTGACTGCATTCTCTCCCACCCAGTCACATGGCCACGCCACGAAATACCTCTTTAAGGTATTTCTTTTTTTTTCCTTCCTGACAAACAGCTGTTCTGATGATCAGCTGTGCTGGGATCCCCCTCGCTGTCTTATTGCTTCACCCAGAAGGCTTCCTAAGCCCCCCCCCCGGAGGCTTTCCCTGAGGCCCAGGAGGCAAAAAGGGGCATGTGAGGGGGGTGCTGCAAAAAAAGAGGGGAGAAGCCACACCCACCCAGTCGCATGGCCAAGCCCACCTAGCCATGCCCACAGAACCAGTTGTTAAAAATTTTGAATCCCACCCCTGCCAACAGCTAATCCTAAATGTTTCTTGACTGTCATATTGGATGAACTGAAATAATAACATAAGGTACAATAAGAATTGAGTTAAAATTCAGTATTGCAGGCTAATTCACTGCTCACTTCCAGGAGTTCAATTCTTACTGGCTCAAGGTTGATTCAGCTTTCCATCCTTCTGATTCAGGTGGTTTGGGGAAATATACTAACTGACTCTGTAAACTGCTTAGAGAGGGCTGTAAAAGCACTATGAAGCGGTATATAAGTCTTTAGTATTGCTATTGCTAATGCTACATCATCATTGTCTGATGAGATCTAATGTAGAATAAAGAATAAAGTCAGAAAATATCAATTTGACTAATTCACAATTAATACTAAAACCCTGGGGCTGCTATTCAGGTTACTTGTAAAACAGCTTTCAGAGAAATATGAATAGAATAGCTTTCAGAAAATGTTTAACATTTTCCTAGGTGCTTCTTGCACCAAAGAACTATTATTAACCAAGCATATGTGTTATGTCCCTGGAACTTAAAGAAGTTCCCACCCAGGTCCGTCCGCGCTGCGGGGGCGGTTGCCCTCTCCCATTGGTTGGTTCTCCCCAGCAGCCAGCTATAAAAACAGGCTGCGGGGTCCAACCAGTTGCTGATCGCTGCGAGCCAGTTCCAGGCTTGGCAAGCACGTTCAGTCCTTTATTATTCTAATAAAGTATTTGTTGCATCCATGCCCTGGTTCAGCCTCTCATTACTCGAACTTAACACTGGCGACGAGGATGGGATGGCTACCAGAGGCACAATGCAACCGCTGAATCACTAGCCGCTGATCCGCAGCCAGAGAGAACGATCAGTAGGCAATAAGAGCAAACGCTGATCTGCAGCTAGAGAGAACGATCAGCAGGCAACGAGAGTGAACGCTGATCCGCAGCCAGAGAGAGCGGTCAGCAAACAGCGAGAGTGAGAAGCGTCTGTAGCCGCTAGTTAGCCAAGCTACAGGGAAAGTGAAGCGCTGCGAGCCGCAGCCGCTCGTTTCTTTAGGTGCGAAATTCAAACGGCTGTCATTTGAATTTCCGCCCAAGAAGTACAGCGCGGTGCTGTATTACAAAGTCACTGACGCCCACGCAGGCGTGAATTTCAAAACGCTGCCAACGACCATTGCAGCTTAACCTCATGTTAACCCAGAGAGAGAGAGAGAGAGTTGTGAAAAGCCTCTCCAGAGCTGAAGTCACTTGCCTGCCACAGGCACAAAAAACCTTCCTGCTGCTGCCTCAGAGAGATTTTCTCAACAGATTATCCAACCTGATTTTTTTCATCATGAACTCCAACCCAGTTTTCCCAGCATTCAAGCCGGATGAGGAGAAGTGGGAGTCATACAAGAATCGCTTTAACCATTACATCGACGCAATTGGGCTGGCTGATGCAGGGGAACACCGGAAAAAATCATATTTTCTGATCTACTGTGGAGCCATCGTCTTTGATACTGCCACAGCACTCGTGGCTCCACGTGAGTTAAAAAACGTTCCCTGGACAGAACTGTTAGAAATCCTTACTAACCACTATTCTCCTAGACCCTCACAGATTGCCAGGTGGTTCACCTTCCGAATGAGGAAGCAATCAGACAAAGAGACCATCAACCAGTAGATGGCTGCCCTCAGGACTGCAGCTCTCCATTGTGGGTTTGGGACCTACCTGGAGGACATGCTCCTCGATCAGCTAGTCTGTGGAGTCAAGGATCTTCACCTCCAAAGGCACCTACTCGCTAGGAAGGACCTCAACCTCGCGCAAGCCGTCGAGGAAGCCCTGGCAGCAGAGCTGGCAGCACACTCAGCCACCAAAATCCAAGGTCCTGCTTCCAAGCAAAGTGCAGTTTCAGTCCACTCTGAAGAGGTGGTCATCAAAGAGGACCCCAGCGATGCGGCCGACATCCACCGCCTCGCCCACGCCAGACACCCGCAGGTAGGAGCCAAGCAAGAAAGCGTCAGTCCACCCAAGCACATCACCCTGTGCCTATCCTGTGGTGGATCTCACCTGAGGACCACCTGCAAATTCAAGGGAGCCACCTGCAACATTTGCCACAAAAAGGGGCACATCGCTAGAGTCTGTCAAGCCGCTCACAACTCGGTGCAAAGGCACCCTTCCTTTTCACATTCTGGACCCCAAAGGCAAGTATTGAACTGTCGCACTCACCACCATGCTAAGCACGCTTGCCATGCCATTAGTAAAATCTCTCTCTCCGTTTTGTTAGAAGGTAAACCTTGTCGCATGGAGGTTGACACGGGGTCAGCGCTCTCAATTATCTCTTGGAGCACCCTCAAGAGGCTACAGCCCAGTCTATCCAGAAACCGGCTCCAGAAGTGCCAGTTTAACCTGAAGGACTACCAGGGGAAGGACATTCCTGTAATCGGCAGAGGAAAGTTTCTTGTCAATTTTAAAACTTTCAAAGGCCACCTACCTCTAGTGGTAGTTAACGGAAATCTCCCCACACTCTTGGGGCTTGATTGGTTTCCCCATCTCGGCCTAGGGCTAACAGGAGTCCATGCTGTCTCAACCTCTGACACTGACTCCTTATTCGCTGATTACTCAGACGTATTCAGCAATGAACTGGGGTGTTATAACGGTACCCCTATCTCATTCTCAGTCGACCCCCAAGCAGTCCCAATCAGGCTAAAACCTCGTAGAGTCCCATTCGCTATTCGGCCTAAATTAGATGCGGAACTGGATAAATTATTAAAACAAGGGGTCATTGAGCCAATGATTTCGCCAAATGGGAGACACCCATTGTCACACCCCTCAAAAAAGACGGTAGCCTGAGAATTTGCTCGGACTACAAAACCACAATTAATAAGTTTTTACAAGTTAGCGCTTACCCAGTGCCCGTCATTCAGCATTTATTACACACTTTTGAACCCGGCAGCATTTTTGCCAAATTGGACATGTCTCAAGCGTATCAACAGTTCCCTGTTGACAACCAAACAGCGGAACTCCAGACCATTGTCACCCACAGGGGTGCTTTCCGGTGCAAGTGTCTCCAATTTGGCGTAAGTGTTGCCCCAGGCATTTTTCAATCCCTCATGGAGCGGATTTTACAGGGCCTCCCTGGTGTAGTACCCTACTTCGACGACATCTTAGTCTCAGCCAGGGACAGACCCCAACTCTTCCAGAGAGTTCGAGCAGTGTTAGAGAGGTTCAGACAGCATGGCCTCAAATTAAAAAAAGAAAAATGTGCCATTGCCACTAGACAGGTGGACTTTCTGGGTTATAAAATTGACGCCTCAGGCATTCACCCCCTGGAGTCCAAGGTTAAGGCAATTCACGAGGCACCCACTCCAACCTCCAAAGCGGAACTGCAGGCCTTCTTGGGGCTATTGAATTTTTATGCGTCGTTCCTGCCCCATAAAGCATCTGTGGCGGAACCCCTGCACAGACTTTTGGATAAAAAATCGGCTTGGCATTGGGGACACAAGGAAGACTCCGCCTTTCGCACAGTCAAATCACTACTCACGTCGGAGGCAGTCCTTATTCAGTTTGACCCCAACCTTCCATTAGTGCTAGCAGCGGACGCATCCCCTTTTGGAATTGGGGCAGTGTTAAGCCACAGACTCCCCAATGGCTCCGAGGCCCCCATCGCTTTTTTTTCCAGGACGCTCTCTGCTACAGAGCGCAATTATAGCCAAATCGATAAGGAAGCTTTAGCAGCTGTCGCAGCTGTGAAGAAATTCCATGAATTTCTTTTTGGCCACTTTTTCGAGCTGGTCACGGATCATAAGCCTCTCCTGGGTCTACTAGCAGGTGACAAACCCCTCAAGTCCTGTCGCCTAGAATGATGAGGTGGACTCTTTTCCTCGCGGCATACTCGTATAGACTCATACACCGTCCAGGTAAAACATTGTCTCACGCAGACGCCCTCAGCCGCTGCCCCCTACCTGCTCCAGCTGAGGATCCTGCCCCGGTCCATGCTATCTTTGAGGTCACCCAACTGGACCTCCCCATCACTGCCCTTGACATTGCCGCCAAATCCAAGGCAGACAAAACGATCGCCCAGGTACTGGACTGGGTGAGGAGGGGGTGGCCGGGCAGTGATGTTGAAACCAAATTCACGCCTTTTAAGACCCGCCTACAGGAGTTATCCAGCTTGCAGGGCTGTTTGCTGTGGGGCACACGAGTGGTCATCCCGACCTCACTGCGTACCCGAGTTTTGGAGGCGTTGCATGAGGGCCACCCTGGCATCGTCAGGATGAAGGCATTAGCACGCAGCTACGTATGGTGGCCCGGCCTCGACGATGACATCATCAGATGGGTAAGCTCCTGCCATCCCTGCCAGGAATCCCGTCCATCCCCTCCAATTGCCACTCCCACCAAGTGGGAAAGCGCCAGCGCACCCTGGTCCAGGATTCACATCGACCTAGCGGGCCCGATGCACGGCAAAATGTTCCTGGTGGTCGTGGACTCTTACTCTAAATGGATTGACGTGGCACAACTGTCCACAACCACCACGCAAGCGGTCACCAAGGTATTAACTCGCCTATTCGTAACGCACGGGCTACCAGACTCAATTGTTTCCGACAATGGCCCCCAGTTTGCATCAGCCGAGTTCAGTCGCTTCGCTGCCAATCTGGGCATCCGCCACATCTTCACGGCCCCCTTTCATCCTGCCAGTAACGGGTTGGCAGAAAGAGCCGTTAGGACCACTAAAGAAGCTCTAGCTAGGTTCAGCAAGGAAGACTGGCACCACAGACTCTCCCGTTTCTTGCTGAGCCAGCACTCAACCCCGTGCACAGTCACCAATAAGTCCCCGGCTGAACTCCTGATGGGTAGACGCCTGCGGACTGTATTGGACAGGCTTCACCCACATTACTGCCCTGACTCTCCCCTCGCTTCCACATCGAGGGTTAGGCATTTTGTCTTACAGGAACCCATGTTCGCGAGGAACTTCGCTGGAGACCCTCTGTGGATCCCGGGCGAGATCGTGGCCATCACAGGACCCAGGTCGTATCGAGTCAGACTGGAGGATGGCCGAATCTGGAGAAGGCACCTGGATCAGCTGCGGAAGCGCCAAGGCACTCACGTTAGCAGTGACTCGTGGTTGCAGACCAGTGCAGGGCTACAGCATCAACCCCACATCAGCACCAATTCCAGGGACCAGTTCACGCCTGCAGCTGAGTCGGGGACCCCGAACACGACCCGTGACCACCAGATGACTGACCAGTCCGAACCAGTCAACGGAAGCACATCCCCAGTGACCAGCCCTACGAGTCCCGAACCGGCACTGACCGAGGAACGCGTTCGTGACATCCCACCGGTCCAACCTTCCCTTGCAGACTCTGATCTACCAGACAACTCCCCAGAGTTGCGCCGTTCTGGGCGCCAGCACAAGCCTCCCGCGTACCTTAAAGACTATGCGTGTTCGCATCTGGGGGGAAGGGGTGTTATGTCCCTGGAACTTAAAGAAGTTCCCACCCAGGTCCGTCCGCGCTGCGGGGGCGGTTGCCCTCTCCCATTGGTTGGTTCTCCCCAGCAGCCAGCTATAAAAGCAGGCTGCGGGGTCCAACCAGTTGCTGATCGCTGCGAGCCAGTTCCAGGCTTGGCAAGCACGTTCAGTCCTTTATTATTCTAATAAAGTATTTGTTGCATCCATGCCCTGGTTCAGCCTCTCATTACTCGAACTTAACAATATGCATTTTGCATGGTACCTCCATTTGTGAAATTTTCTTTTCTGAAGGTGTTCCATCAAATAGATCCTACTAGATCTTTTAGGCTTCTGCAATGTTTAAATCTTACCAAGGGAGAAGTACTTGCATTTATCACTTTGTTCTAATAGTTCTAGATTTGGGGATATTTGAAGAAAGGTTTGTTTTTGTGTTATCAACAATCCTTATGCTGGAAACAAATTATGTAAATAAAGTTGCGACTTTGTGCATCTTCCCATTCTCTCCCTAATGATCGGGTGATATCTGGCCAAACACACTCAACAAATACCCTGAATGTGTATAGATGTTTCACTGGAACTGATGGTTTAAAAATGGAAGTGGTCTTTCAATCTGTCCATCAATCCCAAAGAATTGGTTTCTATTGTAAATTTTCTTTACAATTTTCTGAATCAAATACATATTTCGTCCCAATATTTTCTAACTTTCTTCCATGTCAACCAATGAAAAAAATGTACCTTCAGACATTTCAACACATATTTGAAATTCCATTATACATTTCTGACAGTTTATCCACTGTTGAATCCCAGCAATTTTTATAAAAAATCTCTTTAAGGTTGTAATTCAATGTAAATTTCAATACTTGCTTCCACATGTTCTCCCATTGGTTCAACAGTATATTACAGTGGTGGCTAACCTTTTTGGGCTCCTGTGCCAAAAATTGTGTGCATACTTGCACACTCACACTCGCATGCCAGCATCCAGAAGCAATGCGCGCACCCCTACACTCCTTACATATGCGTGCGTAATCCTCATCCACCCCCTCCACCCCTTTACATGCACTGCATCTCACAGCTGATTTTTGGCCAGTTTGAGACCTTTTTGGCCTCCCAAAGGCTTGATGAAGGCTTCTGCAGGCCGAAAACTAGCCCTGTTTCGTCACTTCCGGTATTTTCTGAAAAACAGGCAGTGATGAAACAAGGCTAGTTTTTGGCCTACAAAGCCTGCAGAAGCCTTCCTCAAGCCTTTGGTAGGACAAAAAAGGCTTCAAACCATCCAAAAACCAACTGTGAGGCATGTGCATGCCCAGTGAGCTAAGTCTGCCTGCAGCTCGCGTGCCGGCACAAATGGCTCTGAGCGCCACCTATGGCATGCGTGCCATAGGTTCGCCATCATGGGTATATTATATTCAAGATATAATGTAATTTGGCCATATTATCATTCAGTTTACAACTTGTTCATCCTATTTCCATTTTCAATAAAAATGTACACATTTTAGCAATAATATGTTCATTATTTGTACACAGTTCCACATTAAATTCCATCTTACTATTTTTAAAGTTATAGTTCTTATCAAATTTAAATATTTCCATCAGTTGAGCATAAGAAAACCAATGGCATATACAAATTCTAGATTTTCTCTTATTTTTAACTCAAAATCATCAGCATAAGTTAAGCTATGGTGGGCAGTGGTTAGAATGCAGTATTGCAAGTTAACACTCTCACTGCAAGGAGTTCTATTTTGTTTTTGTTTAATATACATTACATAAACAATGAAGTATCTGGGCAACATTCATTTAAGTACAAATTATAATAGTAACATTAATAATGTTTTACATTAATCATACTTATGTAATCGTGTTATACATATTTATATCTAAGTGTGTTCCTTCATTGTTTAGTTGTTCAATATTTTTATGTACCATTCTAATAACAATCACAATATTGTTTAAACATACATAATATCACCATCTTTCAACATCTGATCTTTACATCTAGCTATTACTTTTAGTATGGAATAGAAAAATATGTATAATAATATTTTTAACCTTGTTTCTACCTCTAAATATTATTAATGTTTATTACATCAATCATACTTATGTAATTATGGCATTGTTATACACATTTGTATTAGAATATGTTTCTTCATTGTTTAGTTATTCAGTGTTTTGGTACGCCATTTAATAACAATCACAATATTATTTATTATTATTATTATTATTCATAATGGTACAATCTTCCAACATCTAATCTATTGCTTTATTACTTTTTTAATTTATTACAATCTGGGACTGGAACAACTGGTAACCAACAATACTAGGCTTAACAACTGCCTCGATCTCATCTTCTGCAATAGTATGAATTCAATTTACGGAATACAAATTAAAGAACCCTTTTCCAACAGTGACCACAACATGATTGACTTTTGTCTCAACATACGTCCACACAAAAATCATCACAATGACGGAATCCCCAATTATAACTTCAAAAAAGGCAACTATGATCTTATAAACAATGATCTCTCATCCCTTGATTGGCAATTTCTATTTACTGGATGCAATACTGTTGAAGACCATTACAACATATTTTTACTTGAAGTCAAAAGAGTCATCAAACTATATGTACCATTAACAACTCCCAAAACCAGAAAAAAAAAATTACCCAAAACAATAAGGAAGCTTCAATCCAAAAGAAATCACTTTGGCAGAAAAACAAATCTGGTCACATTATTTTTTAAATTTTTATTTGTCAATTGCTTACAAGATAATAGGTATAAGTAAAAACATAGTTATGAATACATGGATACATAGTTGTTCCAGTCCCAGATTTGTTACAGCGTTGTAGAAGGTTGCATGTATGGGTTCAGTTGTACATTCGTTTAGGGTCCAGTTAATAGGAGATAGATTGAAGTCACCAAGAAAGTTAAAAGCATGTGGCCAGGATGCTGCCCATGTTAGTAGTGTATTTAGCTTGTTTACATGTTCGATGTCATAATCAGGGGCTCTGTAACATAGTAAGAACTGAAATGTGATATTTAATGTCAGTTCACAGATAACGGTCCTAGGAAGAGCAAGCTCTTGGGTAACTTGGATGTTTTTTAGATGTAAGGACTTTTTATAGAAGATAGCAACACCACCTCCTCTACGGATTTCATGATCGGATCGATAAACATGATAGTCTCTTACTGAGGTAATGGAGTCAGGGAGAGATGTGTTGAGCCATGTTTCACAGACAAATATGATGTTGAATTTAGCCATATTTAGGAAAAGGAGAAATTCAGGTATTTTATTTACAAGGTGTCTTGCATTGAGTAGCTTGCATTTAAGGCCAGTTGTAGTTTGAATTGAGGTAGTTGGGAGCATGCGTGCCTAGTCTTGGGTGATGGTGGATTGGTTGAAGAAGGTTTGGATGCTGAGTTGTGGGTTTTGTGACTTTCTTTTGATACAGTCTTCATGGTAATCAATGTACAGGTCCTTCTCTCCATTGTCTAGACGATTTTTGAGTTCTGTTGCCTCTTCTTCTAGATTCAAAGTAATGACATTCATGTGGGCAACTTCGTCTGAGTACATTGCTCTGTATTGTTCCAAATAGTTCCACACCTGGTTCAGGCATCCAAGAGGGATTTCAAAAGTGGTTCAATCTTGACATAATACTTTTGTTGCTATTGTTATTGGTTATTACAGCTGCCCAATCTAGCAGATTCTGGACAACTTATAAAATGTAATATTAAATAAAAACAATTAAAAGCATAAACACAATGAAACATAGTAAAAGTAACCCCTGGAATCATTTATGACCTTTGCAAACCAAAAGGCCAAATATGTTATCCATTTTTATAAATGGAAAAATTAAAAATCTAAATATGAAAAGTCTACCATTGCCCTTTCCCTGTTAGATGAAGAAACAAAATGAAAAATCTGAGTGATAAACTGTTCAAATCTCCCATGATCATATAAATTTCCAAGGTTTCTGGAAAAGGCCTTAAAAATCACACTTAAATCATATATTCATCCTGCAGTGGATAGGCTAAAATAATTTTATAAATATACATATATACAAATACACACACATAATTAATTTTTTGCTTGAAATATACTTTTGCTGAGACTTAAAACAGTGAGATACTAAGCGAGATATTAATATTGCACAGTTCCTTAAACAAAACTGGCAAAGTGACATTGATATGCTTTTTATATCAATTTCGTAACTATTTCATTCAGTGCCTGTGGGAAAAATATTTTTTATATTTTATCTGGTTAACACATCATGTTATTAAAACATGTTTCCTAGAATATATTCATGTTGGTATGACCTGCTATTTTTATATATTTATAATAATGAATATTCAATACTTATACAATGTTATTTATAAGATTGTTTTAGTTTAATCTGTTTGTATAGTTTTATATTTTATCTGTTTGTATAGATTTTTCACTTTTGTGTGCCTCTAAGAGTTTGTTGTAATTGGGCAGATATAATAAATTCAAATAAATAAATAAGCTATGAATCTTTTAAATCTAAAAATTAAAAATAGTTAAGTTTGGAAAGATAGAGAAAATAAAATATTAGGAACTGATGTAATGCATTATTGTAACCTAGAAATTAGCAAAAAAGATTCCTATAGTCCTGTCACATGCATACTTTGTTCACTTTATTGTCCTCTATTGTTCTCCATCTTCTAAAACAATTGATCACATGGATAATATAATTTGAACTATAAATAAACAAAAATATAAATTAGGACAAGTATATAATATGAATATAGTTTTTAGAGTGCTGATTATTAATACTTTAAGACAGTTTAAATGCTGAATAAACTAAAGAGAGGTTGTTTTATTGTACTATTCCCTTTATATTGAAAAAGGTTGGAGGTGTGTTTTATTTTTTATTTTCCTGATGAATTTTTTGCCACTTTTTAATATGTCCTATTATTTTTCTCCCCATATTTCCCTTTATCTTAGTTTGTATTTTAATGTTTGTTTAGAAAATATAAATATATTTTTTTAAAAAAGAAATAAGCTAAAATATGAAAAAATAAACTTTTGCCATGTGAAAGAATTTTTAGTTCTAAATTTGAAGAGATTCTCACAATGATTTTACTTAGAAAATAAATTAGATCTTGCATTATTTGAATGCGTATTTGTTATGGAATATTTCTGTGGTAATATAGGGTTATATGCTTTTACCACAATCTGAATAATCGAGGCCTCCTGCTGTTACTCAGCTTCAGGCTCAGAAAGAGATGTATAGATGGGGGGGCGGGGGGGGGGAATTCTGGTAAAATCATTATTGTGAATCATTTGAGACCAGGCAGCACTGTTTTACTCTTTTCAAGGAGGGAACCCTCATTTCTTGGGCTATCTAGTCTTTTCATACAATAGGAGCAGCAGTTGTGGAATAAAGCAGTATAAAGATAGATGTGCCTGAGGAAGGACAAAACCAACGGCATGATTCATCAGAGCAATTTTGAGAAGCCAACAGCTCTTCTACAGCGAACGCACATAAGCAGCTTCCTCAGAGCATTTTATACAAGGTCTTGATAATTTCTATCTTGTTTACTACAGTCTTTCTGAAATGGATTGGACAGTTCTGCCTTATTAGCCTCAATGACTATGCCTAACATGCTGATTCAAATTCTGTTTAGTTAAAGTTGCACCGCAAAGAAGTCTATAGGAAGTGAATTTACTCATTAGATTTCCTCTATGCTACAACTCCTTAACGGGTCCTATAAAATACCTATTAAACATTGTGAGAATACAGCTTTTATTGTGATTATAAAAAGCAGACCAAGTTATTTGAGACTCATGTCCCCATGTTGAGAATCAACTTTATCAAGGCAGTATATCCCCAATTTAATACTTCTTTCCCATGTTTCCAGCAGTCTTAAGTGGCTGCCGGCATATTCTGCCTATCTTGCTGCAATAACAGTAGCTCTCGACTTAGGCAGCCAAAAAGCATTTGATTTACACCACTCTAGTGGCAAAGTGAGAAATATCTTGGAGAGACAAAAAGAGACAAAAAGAGAAAGAGAGAAATATCTTGAAGAAAATATTTATCTCTGCTAATTGCTTGGCTATAAGAAAAACAAAAAAACAAACCAGCCATTCTCTTCCCAATCTCCAGATAAACGAATAAATTTCATTAGTATAATGATTGTATAAAAGGTATTTAGTCAATAGACCATTTCAAATAAAGGTGTCATATTGGTTTAGGATAAAGGCCAAATTATCTATGTATTCAATGCACAATAAGTAAATAAATATTGGTCAATATAGCCAATGACATACAAAATACAGCTTCCAATATGGAACATAAAATATGCAAAATATTCAAGCCAATGCTGCCAATTCTTTGTGTATATTATTAAATTGAACATATATTGTTATATCCTGAAATAAAATTCTTCAACATTTGCTCCTGTACAAAATTAAATTATTCTGCTTAATGATTACATCCCTGATTTTGATACCAGAGTGTTCTGACCAAGGCTTCCTGAGACAGTAACAATCACATGCTTAGTCCCAAAAACCTTCTTTTTGTTTCAACAGCTGTGAATTATATTCATTCACAGCCTGTAATGAGTCCCAAACACCTCTGACTGGAGATTTACAGTATCCTTCTCCTGCCAAACTCACCAAGCCACACCCACAGAACCGGTAATAAAAAAATTTGAATCCCATCACTGATGCCAACATATAAAATGTTTTTAAAAAGCTCAGATGACAGGTCTTTTAAGTTGTGGTTTCTATCTTATAGGATACATTCCCCTAGGGATACATTTGGTGCCTCTCTTTTAGCCTTTATGAAATTGCTTAAAAACTTATCTTTTTAATCAGGCTTTTCACAGTTTTCATGACTTTTTAAATCCTCATTTGTATTATTACTATAAGAGTGAATTGCCACTTTGAGAAGGAAACTAATATCTGCAGACACTCTCAAGTTTAAGCTAGTTCACATTCCTAGAAGCAATTGGCTATATCCCTTTCCACTCAAAATACAGGAGAAAGTCAGATAGTGTGGGTCCTTGGTGCTAGAGAAGCTTGGGTTTTTTTTGTAGATGTTTCACTATCAAACTAGGTAACATCAGCAGTGCTAGGTTTGCTCTTATTTTTATATTCTTTTTTAATATATGTTTTATTAATACATTTTCCTTTTATATCACATAAAAAATTCCACATCAATCTGAACAACATGTTGTCTGGACACAATTAGTTTTAAGTAGAAATATAATATTAATTAACATAAATCATAATATTAAGCATAATAAACATATCAGTAATAATCACAAATCAGTAATACAATTAGTTTATCTATCTTACAAAATTTTCAATACAAAGGTTTATTTATTTTATTTATTTGATTTGTCAATTGCTTATAAGATAGGAGGTATAAGTAAAAACATAGTTATGAATACATGGATACATATAAGAAAAATAAAAAAAATAAAAGAAACAATATGACAAGGACTGTAGGCACATTGGTGTGCTTATGCACGCCCCCTACAGACCTCTTAGGAAAGGGGTGAAGTCAATAGTAGACAGTCTAAGGTGAAAGTTTTTGGGTTTGGGGAAGAAACCACAGAGTCAGGTAGAGTATTCCAGACATTGACCACTCTGTTGCTGAAGTCGTATTTCCTGCAATCAAGTTTGGTGTGGTTAACCTTGAGTTTGTATCTATTGTGCGCTCTTGTATTGTTATGGTTGAAGCTGAAGTATTCATTGACAGGTAGGACATTGCAATGTATGATTTTATATACTATACTTAGATCGGACAGAAGGTGGCATAATTCTAGGTTTTCTAGGTCTAGAATTTCAAGTCTGGTGGCATAAGGTATTCTGCAATGAGTAGTTATTATCTTTTAGATCTTATTAAATTCTAATCTCTGATTCTATTAGTTAACCATTGATAAAACAAGTCCCATGACAAGAAATATTCTGTTTCTATCTTTTCTTTTATGTTAAGTGTTAATCTATCCATCTCAGCACATTCTAATATTTTTATAACATTTTCATCTGTAGGGATCTCTTCATTTTTCCATTGCTGTGTGAATACATTTCTTGCTGCCGTTAGTACATGTAAAATTAAATATGTTTTCCCTTTGTCATGCTGATCTGGTAATATACCCAACAAGAATATATCTGGTTTCAAATCTATATGCTGTTTTATCATTTTTTCTAACCAAGTATGTATTTTAGTCCAATATTTTTTGCTTATATATTTTATAATTTCAATTTTATCTCTCAAGATGGAACTTCTTTGTTCCTTCTACCAAGCTCTTTAGTTCAAATTGCAGGAATTAAGCATTTTTCCCAACTAAAAAATCAGCTAGGATTATGGTCAAAGCCCAGTTTTGGAAATAGATGTAGTTATTATGTAGATTTGCTGAATGTTCATGTACCGCAGGGGTGTCAAACTCAATTTCCTTGAGGGTCACATCAGCATTATAGTTGCTCTCAAAGAGTCACCACATCCAAAGGGCAGACACACTCTAGCGGAAACCCAAGTATTTGCATCCTGAGGACCAACTCCTGCTCCAGATGGTTTTGCCTTTGGAGTCTTTTTCTGCAGAAAACCAACTCTAAAAGTCCCCGCATTTTTCCCCTGATTAAAAGAGCAAATATTTCCCTCCCCAGATGTCACTGATCACATTGTCTAATGAAAGTAGCTGGCAGGCTGCTTGACCATTCCTCTCCTCCTTCAACTGCCACCTGTTGGGATGACCTTGGTTCCCACAAGAAAACCTTTTGTTTTGACTTTGACTTTTGTTAGCCAGTCTATCTACTCCCCCTTCCTTTCTCCCTCTCAGAGCTTGTGGCAACTATGAGGCAGTAAAAGATGGCTTCAGCCAGGTTCGCTTCTGAATTGACATTACGTTTGCAATTCTCATGCCAGAGATAGCAACAATGGCCCTGCATTTTATTCAAAGGCAGTAAATTGTGCATACAAAATATGTGTTTGGAATTGGTATCAAGGAACTTCTGGATTCCTTGATTTCCACAATTGATGTAATTGTTGCTGATTTATTAATTTGCTTTTCAATTTCATGTTTGTCCTTGCCTTACTGATTTCCGGATACTTGGATATAATTTTCACTGCATTATTTTAATTACAATCGAGATGCAATTGAAAATATGAATTCTAAATATTAATATCAGAAAAAAATTAACCTGGCAGGGCAGACATGTCAAAGTCAAGGCCCATGGGTCAGATTTGGCTCACAATGCAGTTAGAGTTGGCCTTCAGGGCTGCCCTGGAGACAGAGAATGGCTGACCGGTGATGCCTCAGGCCTGGTCCACTACAGCCTAGCCAAGCACTTCCCCTTGGATGCTGCAGCTGCTTTTGCTCAACTGACACCTCTTGGCATGCTGCGCAGCCTGCTAGCTTCACTCTCTGGTGCTTGGGGCTCATACCTGACTTTCCCAGGAGGCTTTTACATACACTGAGAACCTGCCATAGCAGCAGCAGCAGTGGAACATCAGCCATCAGTGTCTCTGCTTCTCTTTCACTGGGACAGTCTCCACCTCTCTGCAAGGGAAAATGATGGGCACCTTCTTGGCTTGTAGCTTCCAGTTCCTCTCTACTACTATAATCTTCTTCCATTCCTACTAATTGATCATGTAATTCTTGTGCTTTGTCTAAGTTGTTGATTTTGATCCTTTTGCCCTGCCAAGAGACTAACATTCCTTCTGGTGTTATCCACCTGAAGATTATATTTCATTTATTTAATTGCATTGCCAAGAAGCGATAGTCCCTTCTTTGTTCTCAGACTCTTCTAGGAATTTGTTTCAGGGTCATGATTTCTTTGTCTTTATAAGTCATTGGTTCTTCTCTGGTAATTTTATAGATTATTTTTCTAACCTTCTTGAGTGCAAATCTGACATGCACCTCTCTAGGCAGTCTATGGCATCTGGCATAATTAGTGTCTATTCTATAGACTTCATCCAACTCATTCAAGATTTCTTGTTTATCCCTTTGAAGGGCTTCCGCTATTCTGTCATAACCGTTCCTAATTCTTCATCTCTGGTCTCTGTCACATTCTGAAACCTTAGATAAAATGATGTACATTCCATCTCAAGGTGTATTAATGAGTCTTCTAAGTCCTTGTTCAGTACCATCATTCTTTGGTCTACCAATTCCAGCTTTTTTCCTGTTTGTTCTGTTTTGGTTTCGACTGTTTTTATTCTTTGTTCGTTTTTCTGTATTGCTTCCTGTATTGAACCTATTTTGTTGTCAAGTTTGTGGATATTGCTTTTCATTTCTCCCATCTCCAATTTCATCTCTCCATGGTTCTTTGACATGGTTTCTTCAATTTTCACCATTGTCTCCTGGATTGTTAGCAGAGTAGATTGCATCATTTGCATGTTTGGCGTGGTGTTCAGCTTTTCTCTGTCACGCTGCTCCAGAGTCCAGCATTGGGTATAACTCCACCCTCTTATGATGTGGGCTGAGTCTGCCACTATAAAAGGTTCACCTCTGCTAAGACCCCCAGCTTTTCGACTCAGCTCTTGGACATATGAGCTATTGTCTCTGGATTCTAAGTTAATTAGCATTCCTCAAAACAAAAGCATTGAAAAAAAGAAAAAAAGAATCATCAAGATCGAGAGAAGCTCTCAGGGCTCTGGTAGAGCTTCACTCATGAGGAGAGCGGGGATCCACTCTCCTCCAGTTGCCAGCTGCCTCAGCAAGGCACTGATATGCAGACAGTAAGTGTGATTGGCAAAAATGCTGTGGAACCTCCCACAGACTTGCTAGAGGCTAATTAACATCACAACAGACTCCTATGCAGCTTTTCCCTGGACCACACGGCTTGTAAAAACCTACCAAGGCTGCACAAGTCTTCTGGAAGATTTATTAGGCCATAAACTATCAAAGTTTTACAATAGCTGCCCTCATGGTATCTGCAGCAATTAAGCCTGATCCCAACCAACCTCCCTTCTACTGCTAGATTGATTGGAGGGGCAATCTTCCTTCTGCGAAGATATTAATCCGGCCATTATAAATTGCCAAACAAAGACCACAGCACGAAGCCTCAGGGATTCAAAGGTGTAACAGGGATCATTGCCCCTCAAGGCCCCTCGCCTCGTGGCTGGTGGCCATTTTGTGATCGAGTTCTTCCAAGTGCCATTATATAGTGGGCCCAGAGGCAGTGATCCTATCTCTCTCCTGGCCATTTAGCTTGGAAAACACCATCAGGACGAGCTGACAGTACCTCCAGTGTTTCTTCCTTGAGCAATGGAAATAGATTGGGCCCAGCCAGGACCATCAGACATGCAGAGCATTCAGACCTCTTAAGCCCCCAAAAGTGTTATGAAAAGAAAATGTCCATGAGTCCATTCAGCCAACAGGGAGGCCACAGCAAAGATCAAGGCCAGGACCCTAGCCCCCAAGAAGGCCTCCAAGTCTGAACTTAGGGCAGAAAAGAGAAGACATGAGGTTTTAAAGAAGCAATTCACAAAAAATGCTCAACAATTACAAGAACAAGCTGCAGGCACAGAGAGGGCAGATGGAAGTCTGGCTAGCCATCTACGGAAATGGTCACCTGAAAAGCAGGATGAGGCCCTTCCCCAGGACCTGAGTTTATCAGGCCCTTCTTACAGGCCACCTACTTGGAACACAGCTACACCTAACCCTCAGCAGGCTTTGCCCCTAGGGGCTTACAGGTTTAGGGAGCAAGCTAACCTTATCCCTTCTGTGACTGGGCCCCAGATGGTAGTTCCTCCCTGGGAGAACAGGCCCCAAAACATCCAGGTAGTAGTTTTGGTGGCAGTCAGACAGAGCATTGCTGAAGGTCTCAAACACCTCCTCCACCCCCCAGGCAAAGGCTCAGGTATCCTTTCTTCCTTCTGTCACGGTAACCCTCCCCCACAGAGGGAGGTTCCCACTTTGGAAACCATGTATGCCCCTCATCATTTTTATAGTTGGGAGGGACAGGATGACAAGGGATCCTCTTACCACTCTGAACAGGGTAGTTCCTCAGAGGAGGAAGAGGGGGAAATTAAAGACCCCTTCCTCTCCGACGAAGAGGAAACCAAACCAGAACAACTGTCCACAACTGCTGTCTTTAAGCCCGCCTTGTTTTGTCCCCTACTACAGAAAGCTCTGGTTACAGCCCAGTTAAGCCCAGAAGAAGTGGCCCCAGAACCACAGGCTGGCCCCTCGAGCCAGGGAGATGCACTATTCTCCAAACCAGTGGTCCAAAATGAGGTTCTCCCATCTCCCTTGTTGTTCTTGGATGTAGTAAAGGACCAGTGTGAGAACCCCCTGTCAGGGCCTTGCCCTTCTTCCCAGGACAAGAGGTTCTTTAATGTAGGTCTCACCTTGGCTAATGCATTAGCTCTCCCAGCAGTAGATTCCCTGGTGGTAGCCACCTTCACTTCCTCAGGTACCCCTACGAAACCGGAGGATGTTTTACAACGGAGGACAAAAAGTCGGAACAAACTCTGAAGCACACACACCAGGCTGCAGCTTGGGCTGTGAAGGCTTCCACCATGGCCTTGTTTTTTACCAGGCCATCTATTCTCTGGTTGTGTCAACTTCAGGACAGAGTTCCCGTTGCTGATGTTAGGTCCCACCAGGACCTCAACAAAATAATAGTGGCAGCCGAGTTCACTGCCGACACCACATTAAGCTCCGCCAAATTCGCCACAAAGATCTGTGTCTGTCAGGCACCTGCTGTGGATGCACAACTGGCAAACCAACTCCAAACATAAGTGAAAATTGGCGGCGGCCCCTTGCTCAGGAGAAAACCTCTTTGGAGCAGCCTTAGAGCTGGTGGAAACACGAGACAAGAGAAAGGTGCTGTCTACTTCCTCCAAGGGGTCAGATTTTTGACGCACCACATACCCCAGAATGCAAACCTTCAGGCCAGTCAACACCCCTCGCTTCAGTCGCAACCACACAATGTATCCCCCTCATCTGGAACAACAGCAGGACTGCCAACCCAAACAACAACAATTCTTGGGTAAGTGGCCCTTTTGAGGAGGAGGAGGTCATTCATCCAGGCACTCTAAGAAACTGCATCCACTACCCTCCCTTCAGAGGTCGTTTGACCTTTTTTAAATCCAGGTGGGAGGAATCAACTAACAATGCCTGGGTCATCAGTACAATATAATTGGGTCTTTGACTCTAATTTCTCTCCCTCCCCCCATTGTTTTTTTTTTTTTTTTTTTGCTGTACTACTTCTCATGACACATCTAAACAGGCCCTGA